GAAGTCGGGACCCTTGGGGTATTGCAAATGAGAATGGAAAACCAGGTCCCCTGAGTTCAACAAGCTGGGCAAAAAGGATCCTCAAGGTAAGGTGACTGGCCCACCCTCCAGAAAGTCCCTTGGGTGGATTCAGTTTCTCTTACAAAGAGAACTGTGTGAATAATTGGCAGAAGAAAGAAGAAGAGAAATTCGGCCCAGCCTCTCCATCTACCCATCAAGTTTCCATTATAATGGGCTCCCATCCACAAAGCCGCCTGGAATAAATGAAACTTCAGCTTTTTCTAGGTATCTTTATTTTATTAAGTTCCACACTAGAATACCAAACGGTTCTTCTTTTTCTAAAGTTCCGTTCGTTTAAAGACATATTTTCTCCATAGGGTAGTTTGCTATTTTGAGCAGTTTTATATTTGGCTCCCAACACACAGGTGAGTCACAGAAGAGGAAATGCAGGACCATAATCCCTTATCTGAAAACCTGGAGGTCAGATGTCCTTCGACATTCAGACTTTTTGATTCTAGGAAGGTAATGCAATGCATTTAACACACATTATGTAACACTTGAAAATCAAATTCAAGGCTGGGTACAGTAGCTCATGCCTGTAATTCTAACTCTGGGAGGCCGCGGCAGAAGGATCGCTTTAGCCCAACAGTTTCAGGTTGCAGTGAGCTATGATGATGCCACTGCACTCTAGCCCAGGTGACAGGATCAGACTCTGTCTCAAAAAAATTTTTTAAATTAAATTCATTAATATTGTTGCAGCAGAACACAGGAACGTTTAAACCAAGTAAGAGAAATGTATACTACAGAACCTCATGTTGGCTTCCAAAAGCCCACAAAAAACTTTTCAGAGCTTTCCACATTTCATAATTGTCCATAAAGGATTACAGACGTGTATAAATTATAACAGTGAAGTAAAATACAGCAAATCCACATAACAGAAGCCATTCTTTGTGTAGGGAAATGGAGAAACTTTCATGTATAAATAACATAAGGTAAAAAGGCAGGATACAAAATTGTACTCCACTCCAATCCTATTCAAGCTCAAAATGCACAGAAAGACCAGAATGAAATATGCTAATAGTGGGGCGTGCCTTACAGCAATGGATCAAGGGTGATTTTCTCCCCCCTCCCTACAAACTTTAAATCTTTTAGGGGAACTTTCCAAAAATACCTACAACACCGTATTTTGAGAGGAAATGAGAAAAGAAAGCTTGGCATTTAATTCCAAGTGTCACTCTGGGCTTTTATAAAATTACAGTGAACCTACCATTACAAAGCCATCACCACATCCAGAATGACAACCTGGCACTATATGTGGTCTATATTTATTAGATGGTCTAACTGACATTATACTATAAATCAAGTCTAATGGGCACTTTGGGGAAGAAAAACAATTTTTTCAAAAAAGATACATAGGACAAAAGATAAATGACACTTTGTCATTTACCAAGATCCTTCAGAGAAAACAGCTCATTTGAACCTCTCCAGCATCCAGAGAGGCAAGGACAGGACTTGGTACAAAATGGAGGCAGAAGAATCCCTTCTTAACTTTTGGCTTCAAATCCAGGGCTATAACTTAAAGATTGGTGCTCTTTCCACCATATTATGCCATTATCCTGTTATGTAGAAATTTTTTATTTTTTATCAGTTAAATATATGAAATTTTATTTTATGTTTTTATTTCAGATAGTAAGAAGGCACAAATGATTAGGTTACAATGTTTGTGTTGTACATAGTAATTTGTTGCAAATATCTTAGAATAAAAAGAATTTTCTTCCTCAAAAGAAAAACAAAATGGTTTAGTAATAATCTGAATATGGGTTCAGAATCAAACAAATCTGACTCGGCATCAAAATTCAACTTACACATTTGAGGGACTTTTCAACTTAACTTCTTAGAGATTCAATTTCATCATCTATAAACACAGGAATAAAACTGCCTATATAGCCGACATGGTGTTTTAAGAACAAAATGATGTGAATACTTAGACCTCTGCTTGGCACAACATTGCTAAAAATAAATCTCAAATTCTTCCCAAAACAGTAAAGTATCTACAGTATACTAACTCTAAATATTAAGTTTAATCCATGTAAGGCACACCAGATTCATCATTCTACCTGTTTTCAGCAGCACAACAAATCTTTACAAAATTAGAGAATTGCCCTAAATTATTAGGGACCCCTCAAGATAACAGCTTTAACCAATGAAAATTTAATTCATTCTATCAGTTTTAAATCACTTCTCCATGGTATCAATATGTAATTAAACTTCCACATCAGAGCCAAACAATTCTTTAAAAAGTAACAATGAAATTTTTTGTTTTCACCTAGGGCTTTGGCCTCTTAACATTGAAATTCAACTAGGCAAACACCCAAATAGTTTGCTTGATTCATTTCTTTTTTGGAGGGTAGGAGGAGGGGATGACAAGCGTGTCTCAAATTTTTCATTTCCTCTTTAAATTAAATCTGAGCATGGAACCCCAAATGCCAAAGGGTGCTTTTTTAAAGCCTTCCCCACACCAACTGTGTATTATGTGGCTGTACAGCTTGGCAGCTACCTGGTCAATGGGAGAACCCCGAATTTAATAATGCTTATCTTTAGCATCAAAATGAGGAGTCAGAAGGCTGGACAGAAGCCCACAGAGCCCGAGGGGAGCACAGTTCTCATCTCACCAGCCCCTGGGCCTTTTCCACCCACTCCTTACTGAGGGCTATGCCCACATAAGCTCTAAGGTTGAGTAACCAGAGAATTTAAGCATAAATAAGCCAAGATGTGGAAAATCATCCCTTTGGGTGCTTGTGGTATAGAGTTTCGAATGCTGATACTAAGAGGCAGGAGTTTAATGAGAGTCTTCTACTAGAAAGGAAGTGAAAGAGACGATGCCACTGTTGCCACCACCCACCGTGAAGCATCTGCCCTTCATTTCTGTACTTCACAACTTCTGATAACCACAAGCTTGCAGGTTTATGACATCCTAAACTCCCTATCTTAGAATCTCAGCAAGATTGCTGAGGTTGATTCTATTTTCTCTCAGGGGAGCAGAGGGGTGCAGAAAGAAAATGCACTTTGGAATCAAGCAGGCTGTGTTATCCCAGATGAAGAGACACATAAAGACACACGCACACACAGGAGCAGACACCCCACCCCACCCCAGAACAGTGGTTCTGTTTCTGATTGAACACTGACTGATACAATACTATGTGATGTTGGGTGGTTATTTAACTTCTCTAGCCTCAGTTACCTCCTTGGAAATAACAACTCCATGTGGGTAAGAGAAATAAGTTTTAAAATGCATATGAAGTACCTAACCCACAACCTGGCACTCAGCAGGCATTTAACATTGTTCCTCATCCCTTTCTCCCTACTTCCCTAAGCTCAGCTGCAAACGCGTGAACATGGTCTTTGATCCCAGCAGGATCAAATGTTGGCTGATTAGGGCCTCAAGGCAGGCTGGCACGTTTGTCTGCTGTACCTCTTTCACTTTAGAGAACTCATTCTTCTTTAAGCATTGACTTTTATCAAAAAGGTTACTATGCAGTTAGAGAGCTTTCTTCCATCACATTCCAGTCCTGAGACCTGGGTGTTGCTCAGAGATCCCATGAAACACGAACCCACTCTAGGGATGGATTTCTCCTGCTCATGGCTGATTACAAGCATCATGTGCTGAATTTTAACAATTTTACTCCCAGAGTAAGCTCATTTCCAAATTCAAGAGCAAACGACTCTGGCCCTCTAAGGACTGTCTACAATCTGCGGTCCAACTTGAATCTCATTATGCACCTACCGGTCCCAGAAATGAAACGCAAGATGAAAACCAAAATCTCTCATCCAATAAGACATGTCACTAACTGCCATGTCCCCAGGGTGGATGGCTGAAGGAAATGTGGGTCTGCTGATAAAGACTCAGGGGACATTTTAGCCATCTCAATCCCTTCCAGACCTGTTCTGGACTTCATGAAAAAGTGAAGGCCAAAGGGATAGCCATTTAAAAAGCTTTAAATTATTGGAATGTTCTCAGGAGGAAGAACAGTGTATGCATTTTCATGGAGGAGATAGTCACAGTTGGAAAGCGTCCAGTTGCTTATTACTTGGTCCAGAAGAGGAGCTACCCCTGAAGGCAAGCGTGGAAGAGCTGCTGACGTAAGATTCCACGCTGTGCCAACCCCAGAAGACCAAGAAGGTATAAGGATTTTTTTGTTTTTTTCTTTTAGCGGCTGTGATGAGGTGGTAATTAATAAGGGGGTAGAGTGGTAAGGAATCCTTGGTGTCTGTAATTACAATAACAAGAGGGTGATACAGGGCTTCCGTAAACGTTACACCTCCTCTTTAAAATTTTCAATTCAAAAATTCCAGATCATAAATTCTTCGTTGGGGACTACACTTTGGCATCTCTGCTGGTGGTGGTGGCTTCCTGCCCTGACCACAGAGAGTTCCTTTTGTGATGACAGGACTTGACACAAAGAAGAAAAAAATGTAAGTTTACAAACTCGCCTGATTTATCCAGAATATACGAGAAGAAATCTGAACTCCGTGACCTGCTACAAGAATTCATCAACCACTAAAATAAATGAAAACTTTTTTTGAAAACGGGGAGGGAGGCGGCGACAGCGCACCTGGTCCTGGCAGTCACGATCTTCCGCTCGCGGGGCCTCTGAGGACCAGGCGGCAGGAAAGGGGTTCGCGGGGTTCCGAGGGGCGCGGCCTGGTCCCCACAACCTGCATAGCCCGGGGGGGGGTGGGTGCAAGTCCTCAGAGGAGGCCCGAGGGAAGGGAAAGCAGGAGCCGGTAGGCGGGACGGGAGGGACAGGAGCCGCTGCCACGCACCGCGCCCTACCCAGGCCACATCAGGACACCCAGATATTCAGAGCCGGGACCCCGAGGCGGTGCCAGTACGCGGACAGCTCGAGGCGCCGCTGGACCGCGGTCCCGACTCTCGCTTCCTTCCGCGCTCCGGGGACCCGGCTCAGCACTCGGTGCCCTGGCCCCTCCTGGGCACTCACCCGGGGCCACCAGCGGCGAACTCACGGCGCCTCCCACGAAGACAGCAGCGGCGAGGATCGCGGATCCAGAGACTCTCCGCGGAGCCATCGCCGCTTCCCTTCGCCCTCCTCCCCTGGACGCCGCGTCCCGCGCTCAGGCCGGCGGAGCAGCTCCGGGGCCGGCGGGCGGATCCAGTGGCAAGGCTCGGCCCCCGCGCGCGGCGACCATAGCCCCGCCGTGGCCCCGCCCCGGCCCCACCCACCTGGGCTCGGTACCGCCTCTCCTGCTGCGCCCTGGGCTCCGCTTGCAGAGGCAGTCGGCCCTGCCATGCCCCGCCCCCTAGCGCTCCGCCCCAAGATGGCCCCGCCTCTCCCTCCTGTTCCGGCTTCCTTTCCTTATCTGGCCGCAGCCTCAGGCGCCCACTTTGGGCCACGGCCCCTCCCCCTTTGTGCCCCGCCCACCGCGGCCCTGCTCCGCCTTGCCCCGCCCACCGAGGCCTGGCCCCTCCTCTTTCCTGAGCGCCCGTTTCCTTTCCCAGCCGGGCGCGACTGCTGTTGCCTGGATTAAGCGGGAGCCCGGGGCGAGGGCGGGGTCGACGCGGCTTTTCCTCTCTGGCTTTGGGATCTGGGAAGATGTAGCGCTGGACGGGGCACGATCTTTTCTCTCCATTGGCACTCTACTCGGCTGTCATTCCTCTCGGTTACGGGTCTAGGGAGGGATGCTGTGCTTAAGTTCGGTCGTTTGAAAATTAAGGAAAAAACTTAAATAACTTTGATGTCTCCCTCCCTCTGCTTCCATTTAAGCTGATGCTGTTGGGAAAAATACCTCGAACAGCTTGCGGGTTTTTTTTAAGTTGAGTGCTCATATTGCACCTTGCAAATACTCCCACGAGGTAGCTCTTCAAGGGCCCAGTCCCCTATTATCTCCTTATAACCTCACATCAGCTCTCGGAGGTGAGTTATTACAGGCCAAGGAGTGAAACCACAATGTCTGGGCCACCGTGACAAATGATAATTATCTCATGGTCCTTGAGTTTGCTCTCTGCTATGCCCTCGGTGCCTGGATCCGCGACAGCATACACTAAGAAAGAGGTCAAGAATGTTTTTTGAAGTTGAATCATTATCACAAGCACTGAAAAGATTCAGAGGTTTTCTCTGCTTAGTTCCTCTTTACTGCCTTATAGAAACTCCTGATACAGGGCCGTCAAGCATATGTTTAAGGAAGTGTGGGCAAGGCTTGAGCAAATACTTAAAAAACCTAACAGGGAGAGAAGGGTAGATGGGTGCTGTGGGTTTTCACAGAATAGGCCCTATCCTTGAGATGACTGACAGCCTTTAATTTTCAAATGAAGACTGTTTAGTCTCTCACTAAGTCCTGCATGCATTATGCTAGGCTGTTATAAACACAGGCCCTGATGTGGGGATTACCACTGACAGAAGCTCAGGCCACTACAGATGGCTAAGGCTTCAGGATGGAGCCCCTGCCCTTTGAAGCCTAAGGAGGGCACAGCTGGTACACATCCTGGCAGGCTTAGCAGGCAGCCCTTCCTAGTTCTATACCAACAAAAACTGAGAATGGGTGTGGAGAACAGAGATCCATGCAGGTTTCTAACTAAAAAAGGAGAGAATCCTGGGCCTAGAAATTAAAGTATAAATTCTAAGTTATAGGCAGAACCAGCTATATAATTTGCAGGACACATTGCAAAATGAAAATGCAAGGCCTTTTGTTCAACAATCATAAGAATTTCAAGACAGCAACAGCAGAACATCAAATCCATTGTAGAACCCTCTTAAACATGGAGACCTGTGCAACTTCACAGGTTATACACTTACAAAACTAATAATAACATGCTTGCACAAAGATATCTATTCAAAATGTAGAATATCATTCCAAAATTAATGTTTCACTCTTTTCCCTCAGATTGAACTTACGATTAAAAAGACAACATCTTTTTGAACAACATATTTGAACTGGATGTCTGCTGTGCCTCTCCAGACATTAAAATATGATCCAGTAATGAAAACTGGAAGAAACCTTAATAATCTACAAAGCCGCTCATTTTACAGATGAGAGATGGTTAAGTGACTTGCTTGACATCTCATATCCACCATGAGGCAGCATTGGAACCCAAGGCTCTGAAATTTCCCTTTCTAGACTTTCCATAACATTCACCTCTTGACACACTCTGTATAGGTGTCTTAACATCCACATACCCCATATTTATGCATTTACACATTGTTAAAGGAAAGAGGGAAGGAGGAAGCAAAAGAGGGGGAAAAAAAATAAAGGAAGAAAACAAGGAAGGAAGGGAGGAAGAATGGAAAAGAAGGGGCAAAAATAGGGAGGTGGGAAGGAAAGAAGAAAGACAGAAATTAAGTTTAAATTATTTTCCAAATACTTAACCCTACAGATTTGGTCACATGATTAAAAATCCTCTATATACGCATATCTAAAAACTCACTGTATCATATTAGTGTGAGGGGAGGCGCCTGTGGCTCTGAGTAAGGCGCCGGCCCCATATACCGAGGGTGGCTGGTTCAAACCCAGCCCCGGCCAAACTGCAACAAAAAATAGCCGGGCATTGTGGCGGGCGCCTGTAGTCCCAGCTACTTGGGAGGCTGAGGCAGAAGAATCGCCTAAG